TGTTGTAATAGTGAACAGAAGTGTGTGGAAATGGCGTCGCAGCGGAAGAAGGCATTTGTGTGCCCTCTTTTGCAAAAATTCTGCCAGTAATCACTGTTCAGCTTGAATTTCGGAGAAAGTACCATATAAATACACCTACATCTAAGAGTACAAGAAGATGGTATAAACAGTTCCAGGAAACTGGATGCTTGTGTAAAGGCAAAAGTCCAGGGCGACCAGGTTCGCAATATTATACGGTTGGCGAAAGGAAGTCACATTGAACACATTTGTAAAAACAAATTTTACTTTACGTCAAGAAACGTTACGTATAATAAGAGGTTTCATACTTTATCTTTACAATGATATCTTAATTATCATTTTCTGTTTATTCATCGGGGAATTATAAAATTTTATAATCGGGGCATTCATTTCTGATAACCTTGTATTTATAAATAGAACACATTAAAAAAGAAACTTTTTCTATAGAAAAGTTTTATAACTAACGATACATTTTAAATTGAAAACCAAGCATAATATCCTATTGTAATGACATTCTTACAAGTACTATTCGTTGGCTGTTTTATTTTAACACAAGATAAGAGTTTTGAAACCTTGCTAGGAAAAACTAGCTATGTACTCCCTTTTTTCATTATGTCCCATCCAAAAGTAAAGCTTATTTATAAAACAACAATACTATAATACATCTATTGATCCTTATCCACAAAAAAAGAGCTCCAAAATAAACTTTGGTGAGAACGAACTCCAACTATGTGCATTTCCTCAAACAGGAAGACCAAAATCGGACATTCATTAAAATTCTACAAGCGAATCTCAAACTGCGTAGCCCAATTCCAGCTCCTTTTTTTGATACACTATGAACTTCACCTTAGCCAAACCCCCGCATCTGAATCAGTTTCTGGTCTTTTATGAATTAAATTGTCAGTAACGAGACCACATTTCTAACCTTCTTTCTTCGGAACGTTCATCGTTTCTTGTATGAATCGATCATTTCTTCGAAGATATTCCGCTTTAGGTTTCGAAATTAAGGCCACTACTGCCCTCAGGTCAATAAGGCGCTGGGGTTTTCTTTCTTACTTCTTTTTTAGGTCCAGGGTGAAGGCGTGGGATCCTTTCTTCTTTTTGTTCAATGGTGAAGGAAGATCTGGAGCGATTATGCACAGTACTCAAACAAGATCCACCTCAATTGGCTCATTATTTGCTTAATTAAGAATCCTGCGAGAGATCCTGTAGCGGAGGATGTCTTGGATAATAGCAGTTTATCCAGGCTTTAATTATGAGAGTCGTTAAGTCCATTGTTTCTTTTTTAAAAAAATAAATCAGGTTTTCTTTGAAGTGGCCTTTTGAAGTTATGATAAATAAAAGTACCTTTTGATTTAAGGTAACCGACAACGCTCGGAACCGTGATTTTGCAAAAGCGTATAGATGAATAATATTTATGATATTTAGTGTCACTTGGATTAGAAAATGTATATAAAATTGTTTTAAGAATATTATTACAATAAAAAATTATTTAAGTACAATATTTTGACAAAAAATGAACCTAGAATGACCCATTTTCAAAATATTCTCCTTTTGTGAAAAATGCTTCTATTATAATAATATTTTGCCTGTATATAGCTCAGACCTCTCTGTACAGAGGCTCAATTAGAATTTTTGAAATATATAACTTAGAAGTGGGTTTATCCATGTTTTACGACAATAGAGGGGAGAAATGAAAAAAACGCCGATAATTATTTCAATGGGTTGTAACTCTGAAAATAATGCGAATTTTTCAAAAAAAATAGTTCAGACTCTCTCTCTATAGAGAGAGAGAGATGTCATTACTTTATATAAGCAAAATATTATTATTTTTAGAAACATTTTTTATAAAAGGAGAACATTTTGAAAAAAGGTTATTGTAAGTTAATTTTTTGCTAAAATATTGTATTTAAATAAAAAAAATTTGTCAAAATGTCCTTAAAACAATTTTATACATGTATTCTTATCTAAGTGACACTAAATATCGTTAAAATTATCCATTTATGCCCTTTTTTAAAATCCCGGTTCCGAACGTAGTCGGATACCTTAAGAGTAATGAAGATTTTTTTTTTTTAGACTTCAGTAAGAATGTGTGTAATGTTTTCTGAACCTAAGATTCTTTAATAAAAGCAATAATAAAAACAATGATAAAACAAGAGAAAACAATAATAAAAATTTGCTTATTAAAAATTAATACATCATTATACTTTCTGAGGTATATTGAAATGAATTTGCGTATAATATATATGGTTGATCGAAAAGTAGTGTTTTGAGAACATCCAAATCTACCTGTACGGAAAATATGTTCTCTGGTATATTAGTCACTTAGTACTGGGAGGCTCGGTGTCAAATGGTCAAGAAACCAAGCACGGGCTTTGACAAATATCGTAAAATTCGACGCGTATAACACGCACCTTTAACACAAAAAATAAGACCGAAATCTACGGGTGCGCGTTATACGCCGAGTATAAAAATCAGAGCTTTGAAAAGAAAAAAAAAGATAAGCATAGAAAAATATTAAACTTCTGCGTATATCGAAATACCGTTTATTTAAAAGAAATGACATTCCTTATGAACTTAAAGCGTTGCATTTCTAAAAGCATACTATTTTTTTCTAAAGCTTGGAATAATACCTCGAATAAGTGACTTCAAAACATAAGAGCACTTCGCACGTGCATTTCAGGTTCCTTCGTAAAAAAGGGGGTGCGTATTATACGGCGAATAAACCTAAAAGTTAAAAATTGCAGCTTCAAAGTATAGGTGCGCGTTGTACACCGTATTTTATGGTAGGTATATTAGTGAAGGGAAAAATAAAGGGAAAAAATTAATTTTTGTATGTTAAGTACTGCCACAAAAGGAATGATGTTAAGGTATTTGAGCTTTCTAATGGTAAACAATCGAAGTAATTTTAGTTAAAGTTAAACAGGATTTTAGTACTTTTCTATTGCAATGAGATTGATTGAATATTAACGTCGCACTGTTCAGCTACACTAGGGCTTTTAGCGACGGACCACGTAATTTTGAACCATGGTCAAGTGACGTGGATGACACCTGAGCTGGCACCCCCTCTCCTAACTACCACACCAACGGGAGGACGTTTCAGCTCTCGACAGATTTAACGTGCATCGCTGCCCTACACGGCGGGTCTTAAGTGGTACAGGGCTCGAACTCGTGACAAGGCAAGCCACGATCCGATACTTTATTGCAATAAGAGTACACATACTAAACAGTTACGAGAAAAGAACATCAGATACATTGAACAGTTTCTTTTGTGTGTGTATTAATTACATTTTTTAACAACCTACTGTTGAAATTAAAGTGCAAGATCGTGTGGAAGACTGAAAAAAGTGAGGATTGGACTAATTCGGCGGTGTGGGGAGAGGGAACTGGGGGTGATGAATATTCCAAAGCACTTTACACTATTTATTATTCAGTACTCATTAATAATACTTTTGATTATAAATATTGTAGAAAAATTTTGTTTTGAACCTTAATTATCTAACTAAAAGTAAGTATTTTTCCATTTTTTTCCCTAAAATTTATACAATTTATGGCAATAACAGATTATGAAATTATTTTTCAAATCTAGTTTTCTCCTAATAACCATACCGTATCACAGGGGTGGCCAACGCAAATGATCGATCTTGCGGGCCACTTGGGAAAAACATTATAACCCCGCGGGCTACATATAAAGTATATACCTTTATATTAGATTTGGATCCATTACAAACATTTCTTAGAGAAAAAATTTAAAACAGAATAAACTATTATTATTGTTTTCATTATTTTTCATGTATACAGGCATAGATAAAAGATTAATTTTAACGTAATGATCAAATATTGTCCAATTTATTTAGATAATGAAAACTTTGTTTCTCAATTGTTTCATTTTGTGTTTGGAAGTAGATCGCAATCAATATAAACATCATAATAATTGATGTTGCAGGTTTTCATCCTATAATTTTAAGCGTGACTTGTGCTTCATAAATTTCGTATTCGAAAAAAACGGTTTACAGGTGTAAGTTGAAAAAAAGTTACAGGAATCCAGTGTGATGTTTCGGTGAATCACTGCAATGTAATATTGTCCACTTCTAAAAATATATAACGACAGAAGCAACGTGATAAAGTAGAAGCAATTATGGTATTTATTTGTTACAAAACACTACGTTAAAAAAATACTGCACAAAATAATCGTACTTGGTAAAGTTGTAAAGAATCTCCCGGGGGGACGCAAAATTATTCAAGGGAGTTCGCATGCGGCCAACAGGTTTCGAGAAGATCCTTATTGCATAAATAGATTCCGATTAATAATAATTACCTGAAATTATGCGAAATTTAGTAAATATAACTTCAAAAATTTAGCAGAAAAATCCTCGAAACATGTGTGCAAGCTCATGTTTAATTTAAAGACAATCAAACGCATATTGGTTTGAAAGCTACTTATTATGCTTTCGAAATTAAAATATTTCTCTCTGTTAGTGACTTATGAATTTAATGGTCTTATTTCCTTTTTACTCGTTCCTTGTATTTCACCCAAAAGAATGTGTTTAGTTCCTTTTAAAAATACAAGGCACCGAAATTTAAAAATCCCTAATTTTTGTATTTTCTGAAAATTCATTAATAGTGATTTTCAATATGTGTTTATATCATATACAAACACACACACACATATATATATATATATATATATATATATATATATATATTTAAATATTATAAATATAAATATTAATAAATATATTCATTTTCAATCGTTAATAAAATACTTTTTTCAAATTTATTATTTCAATCGTTAATAAAATACTTTTTATTCATTCACTCAAGTTCAAATGCATTTTTTTTAAACTTGTAGTGGATGACACTTGATGTTAATAAAGTTTTTTCAAATATTAATTCGTTAATTAAATTTAAAAAATGTATAAATAGTAACAAACAAAAATAATGGTCCATCACCATATATAAAAAGGAAAATAGTTTGTTGTGTCCCTGTAGAGCAATGGCTAGCGCGCGTTGGACTTCTAATTCAAAGGTCGTGTGTTCGAACCATACCTGGAATGGCCTAATTTCTGAACATGTGATTTATGAATGAATAAATAGTAGCAAACTAAAATAGTAGTCCAGCACCTTATATAGGAAGGAAAATCGCTTTCTATTCTGCCACTTGATATTGTAATTCTGTCGCATGTATATACATATTTATATTAATTGTAACTATTTAATACAAAGTAGCTAAAAGAATTTTTTCTTTGTTGACCTAAGTAGGCACTGACTTTAAAATTTTTTTTATATTACTTGTTTTATTTATTGTCTTTTAATTGCGCACATTTTGAATCCTCTTTTGTATAAATCCAATCCGCAGGTTTTTTTATTCGGGAAAATAGGAAAAATTTTGGAAATTTTTCTAAGTCCAAGAAATAGACAGCTAATTTGCCAAAAAATCGAAAAATGGACCTAGGAACAAAACCTTTGCATCGAAATGAAGCTCTTTTAATTGCGCACTTTTTGAATCCTCTTTTGTGTGCAATATTTTTTTCATTAATAATTTTTCTTCATAGGATAACTTTTTGCTTCCACAAAATCAAATCGAGTGCTTTTGAATCTAATTGTAGCTTTTTATAAAAGAAAAAAAAATCTGTATATGCTATTTTTATGGAGGTATATAAATCTTGTTATTGATAACATATAAGAGGAAAGAGTTATGAAGGTGAGTGACCTACATAACATTTGTTGTACACATTTTCTATTCACCTTCGTCTCTTTCTCGCTGACATTCAATTTAAACATCCTTTTTATCAATAGACTTAATTCGCACAAGCTTCACCAAAAGTAGATACAACTTGTACGAAACCTATTTAGACTGTCTTTCACTGAACTGCGAGATAATGACACCATTGACGACTGAAAGATCATTACGCTAGTTTCTGTTCGAAGTGCTGATGCAGATGTTAATGAACAATTGCAGAACCGTAAACCTATTACTTCAATTAATACAGCTGTTAGAAGTGTTGAAGTATCATCGGTTGATATCACTTTCGAAAAGTTTCTTACATCGCGTGCGTCATCTTCAATAGAAATAATGCTGAAGAAAACTTTTCAAAGAATATAGTTGCAATTTGGCTGTTGACTCTATTCATAAAATTAGGGCATGTAACAATAAAGTCTGTCATGGCTTTTGACAAATGATTTAGCAGAAATTTCCATCATAATAAATGTATTCTTTTCTTTATATATAAGGTTGAAAAATTTCTACCATAATTACTAATTTTAACTGGTACTATATTTGCATAATTATTCTTTCTTGTCAGCCGTTTTATTGATAGATGTTCGAAGCCTCAGTTGTGTTGTGTTCAGAGAATAATTAATGATTTTAAGTTTTATTTGTCACACAGATTCTTCACTTTTAAATGTCCGTTGCCTGGACTTATATTACCTGTTTGAATCTTTCAAAATCAAGAAATTTCAAAAAACCTTTAATTCTTTTTAATTATTCTAGTTCTAATGGGTTTAGTACCTTAATTTTTAAATATTAAAATATTCCTATTATTTTCGGTGAATGGGGTTACAGTTATTATTACGGTGAATGGGATTTTTGTTTTAAAATTAGTGCTGTAATGGATTGTAAAAAAATTAAAACTAATTGCACGTAAAGGTACAGTTATGGAAATAGAGAGAGAGAAAAAAAGAAAAGCACCTCACCCATTCTTTACGAGGTCTTCGGGACTTTTAGACCTACGAAAATGAAATTTTGTAAGTATGTTTCTTTTGTTGGGTAGAGATCCGCAAAGAACGGATTTTGTGGAAATCGACTCCCTAGAAAAAGTTACGAGGGACTAGGAGGCGTTACAGATTAACATTTGCGTTTCTGAACTGTTAGAATTACGTACTTTAAATTTGGCTAGCAAGATTGTTTTGTTGAATAGAGATCCACTTAGAACAGAATGCATAAAAATCTCCTCCCAAAGGAAGCGGGATTTCAGGGACATTTTAGTATTTAAAAAAAATCCAGATTTTGAGCTTTTTGACCAACAGACTTTAAATTTGACGAACATGTTCTTTTGTTGAGTTGAGATCCACTATGATCGGCTATTATGGAAATCGACTCCCAAGTTGGTGTAGAAGTGTGTAAAAAGTAAATATACTTCATTTTTAAAAATTCTTGTCCTTTTTTAAATTAAGAAGCATGGGCTTTAAGAAAATTTTTTTCAATGCAATCGAATACTTAATGCTAGATTTCAATAATTAAAAACAGTACGAGTAGTCATACAACATTATGAAATACCCAGTGAAGAGGGCGGGTAACGGTTGGCATATGCTTGCGTATGATTTTTTTATGCAAAGAAAAGAAAGAAAATTACGTAAAAAAAAGAGAAAATTCAAACCGGTGGATTTCAAATTACTTAGTGATTATACTCCCTCATTCTAATGAAGGTTGTAATTTCATTGTGAAACCCTTCAAATGTTAGCGTATTTAATTGACCATTTATATAAAACTACCCATCTAATTCAACAGCTGTATATTATTCTCTTGGAACTATTCATTATTTCTGAAAAAAAAGAGCTTGCTAAACTGATAATATTCACTGTTTTGAGATCCTTGAAGAGTAAAATGGTGGGTAATTAGATTGAGATTGGCCTTGTCAAAAAACAAACTGAATCAGAAAATCTATTCTTGGTGATATTGCTGTCGGTAACACTTACGCCAATGAGCAATTACAATTCATTGAAGAATGTCAATATGCACTTCGTATCCCTGAATTCATTTGAAAAGACTGTTCCATTGACCTTATACCTTCAATTCTTATAAATCAATTACCATCGCCAACGAGCAATTTCTGCTGTCAAACTTGATGCATTCGTTTTCGCCAATCGCACCAGAACTACAGCATCCGTTCACATTGTATTTTTTTCCTTTCAGGGACAGACGGTTAATCGCCAAGGAGGGAGCTTCCATTGAGGAACAATGCATCTCATGGTCAAACGTTGAGTCCCATCTACCAGTGATAGCTGACGAGAGGTTATTCGGGTTCACCACAGAGACAATAAACTCGCCCACCAAAGATCGCCAATCGAGATATGGAGTCACACACTGCTTGTTAACGAGATCACCTTGATTTTGGCGATAAATCCAATAGAGAGGGGTGCACGATTTACTGCAGGGAACAGATACCCCACGGGCGTTGCTGTAAGTGTTTGTTTCTTATACATCAAGATAGCACTTAGAATGCGTGGTTCAGCACGAATGGTTTCACTGCTTGTGGTATGTGTCTGTTGGAATGATATACCTATGACAGATAGCCGATGCTGCCCCTAGATAAATGGCCCTGTGCTTTTTAGTAGTAGAATATAAGTATATGCCTTTGAGAATGAGTGTCAATGATTATTTTTTCTTATGGTAAACAGAAGGCGGGCGAAACTGTTGTGAGTGACAGTGATGGATATTTCTTGATCGTTTTTGAATAACGAAATGGAAGTGATATGTCCGTTTCGTGTGTATTTTTATCAAAACCATTATCCCTTCGATTCGAAATTTATATTTACCCTCTTTCAGTTGCGTTTTATTATTTCCATTACGTGTTGAGTTTTCTCTTTCCTTTTATTTCTTAATAAAAAGATTAGAATAAGGTTCCTTGATATATTTTTAAAGTCTGAAATTGACTCTGGAATGGTATTATATTAAATTAAATTGATTTTCTGTATTTTATTTTTTTGACTATATTCAGCACCTGTAAATAAGAAGCTGATTGATCGAACATTTCAAGCGTGCTGACATTAGCCCGCTAACTTTAAAGTATCAAACTACGTTCGGAACCGGGATTTTAAAAAAGCGCATAAATGGATAATTTTCATGATATTTAGTGTCTCTCAGATAAGAATATATGCATAAAATTGTTTTAAGGACATTTTGACAAAAAAAATTTATTTAAATACAACATTTTGGCAAAAAATTAGAATAATATTTTTTCCAAATGTTCTCCTTTTGTGAAAAATGCTTCTATTAGAATAATATTTTGCCTGTATATAGCTCAGACCTCTGTTCAGAGGCTCAACTAGAATTTTTGAAATATATAACTTAGAAGTGGGTTTATTTATATTTTACGACAACAGAGGGGAGCAATTTTAAGAAAAAAACGCGAATAATTATTTCAATTGGGGGTAACTCTGTAAATAATGTGAATGGATGACAAGGACAAAACATTAGTTGGTAATTTTGCAGTGTGATATCAGATTTATAAAAAGGGGGAAAACTATAGTTTTGGTATTAATAATATTTTTACTGATAATTTATAATTTTTTAGTTCTTATATTAATTATAAATATTGAATAATTTATAATATAAAAACCCTAGTCAAGATGCAACTCAAACCAAATAATAATAATAGTAAAAATAAGCATTCTTGTGGTCAAACCTGAATGTATTTTTATCATACCAAGTGAATAAATTCTTTGAGCATTTATATGTCGTGAGTCTCTTAAAAAATTCTACTGTTTTGGGTGATGTATGATTTCGTCGTCGAATCATTTTTCAGAATAAATTAGTTGTAAACATATTTTTGGTGAATTAATATTATATCGCCTTATTAAAATCGTTTGGTAGTTATAATTATATAATTAAAATATGTTCGCTTAAATAAATAGTTTGATATTGCTGTATAGCTGGGTAACTGTTTCCGAAACTGATTTTTAAAATAGAATTTGTGAAGAATAGTAATTCCACAGTTCGACCTCTTTGCAAAGATTTACACGGAATAATTTTTAGTTGAACTTGACAACAATGTTTTTCAAATTTTTGAAACAATAGGATGCATAAAAGCAAATATTACTGCTTAGATTACCGATAGAGACCTGAGAAAACTAATATTAGACGATGGAATTTTTGAATTACATTTGTTGAATATCGAGGACAAATACATGTATTTAATTTAATTATCTATAATATATATAAAGTGATTTGTTGTATTATCAAACGTTACGTAATCTCTTTTTCTAAGATGTTTATCTCAATATAATTGAGAATTTTTGTTCCTTAGTTAAGCATTTTCATTTACTCGTGAAAAGA